TTCTGTAATTCACTCAGACCCTTACTCAAGACAACGTAGCTTCGTATTGTGTTTAAGATGTTTCTGTAATTCACTCAGACCCTTACTCAAGACAACGTAGCTTCGTATTGTGTTTAAGATGTTTCTGTAATTCACTCTGACCCTTACTCAAGACAACATAGCTTCGGATCGTGTTTAAGACGTTTCTGTAATTCACTCAGACCCTTACTCAAGACAACGTAGCTTCGTATTGTGTTTAAGATGTTTCTGTAATTCACTCAGACCCTTACTCAAGACAACTTAGCTTCAGATCATGTTTAAGATGTTTCTGTAATTCACTCAGACCCTTACTCAAGACAACTTAGCTTCAGATCATGTTTAAGACGTTTCTGTAATTCACTCTGTCCCTTACTTGTGTGGAACCTTTTTTGTAAGCTATAATTTTAATGTTTTTACTCAGTTTTGTAATTTTTTTTTATAGTTCTTAATTTGTTTTAAAGCTAACTATTCAGAAATAAATTCTTTAAATGCTTGGAATTTCAAGTTGATCTGTGGAAAATGTGTTGATTATTTCAAAATGATCTAATTTGACAGTTTCATTGTGCGAAGGCTATGGGCTACCTAGTAAACAGGTCTTTATGTAGACAGTTATGCTATGATGATTGATTTTGGGATCTCTGTTTTGTAGACATTTGGCTGCTAGAGGGAAAATGGATGTTTCTCCACCTACAGAGAAGACGAGACATTTTGTAACATAGAGTATACAAGCATTGAAAACATGCTGGGTTGATAAATTGGTTTTGAAAATTACTCTAAGAATTGTTTTTGTTGTTTGTTGTTATTTTTTTTTAATTGAGTTAGAACTCAAGTTGTTAGTTTTAGATCTAAGGTTTTAATAATTGTATTTTCTACTTAATCTACATTGTAAATGTACAATAATTCTGAATATTGATTAATTAAATATTGTAACTATTAATGTAGCAAATTAACATTGCATGTTCACAATAACTATAGGTTAAGTTCCTTTTTTTTTTTTTCTGTCATCTGTGGCATAACTTTCCGTTAAGCAGGACTTTTATCTCAGTCATCCTTGCCCCTGGATATGAAGGTAGAGAGTTATTTTAACACAGCTGTGGTTTACATTTTCAAAACGAAAACTGGGTGCTGCATGGTTTCGGAGAAAGAGGTTTTTCAGTGTGTTGGTCAGACAGACATTGGTTCAAGTAGACTCTTCTCATTGGGTAGCTGATTTAATAATTCTCAATTTGAAACTTTTAAACGTACATGTTTTAAACTTCAAAACTGTTGTTCGAATGGCTGCCTTAACCATTGGAAAACAAAAACTAAATTAACTGTTCGATAACAATGACTGTCTGTGCTATTAAAACCTGTGGCTTACTCTAAATGACAAGCTATGTTTTTTTACCGTAGTGATATTGGAGCTTGAAGTAATTGGCTGTAATAATACTATAGTGTGGTGTAACATCATATTATTCTGACCCTTCCAACTTCAAATCCTTTTAAAACCTGTGCCTTATTTAACTTCAAACGTCTGAGATTTGATCATCTTAAAAATGCTTCTTAGTTTTCTTTCTAATTCAGTCGAATTTTTCTCAAACTTTCCGACACCTCCTAATTACGTCAGCTTTTTTTTTTAACCATCTTGTCTATCTATTACTTAATTTTGTACTAACTGTTAACCTTTGTACTAACTGTTAACCTTTGTACTAACTGTTAACCTTTGAACTAACTGTTAACCTTTGTACTAACTGTTAACCTTTGAATGAAATATTTCCTTTGGCACTAACTTACTTATACAGATGGAGTAAACGATTACTAACAAAAAAAAATAATAATAATGTCTCTAAAAGTTGAGAGAATTATGTCACATTTAAGGAAAGTTTTTCTTTTTTTTTTAATTTGATAATTTATAAGAGTTATTTCTTGAAAATGCTTTTTCATTTTAATATCTCAAAATGTTGCATTCTGAGTGGTTTTTTGTTTTGTCAAAAATAATCCAGTTCTTAGGTTGCTAACAGTGTTATGTGGATAACAATGAAGGTTTTTTTTATAAAAATATGAAATTACTTATGTTACCAACTTCATTCAGGGCAAAAAATGTGTTTAAAAATGAGGCCAAAAAAAAAGTCATGATTATGTATTTAAATGTTGTTAAATAGATTACGTTTCCTTTGTAGATAAAAATACAAAAGGTTTGTAAATTAGAAGATGTTTAATTGTATCAAGTTTAGTATAAAGATATTTGTGTTTGAGTAGTTAGTTGATAAGTTTGTCATAAGACTGAATTATTAGGCTGAAATTACGTCTGTGTTAAATTTTGTAAGTTTGGCTCTAACGATGTTACTGTACACGTGCATGGTTTGGTATTTAGTGACACCGTGTTGTGAATTATCTGTATGTCTGATTTGTTTTTATTAATCAGAATTAAAAGGGTCTATATCCATGTGTTTTTAAAAGAATTAAATAGAAAAGTTAAGAGTTCATAACCAAATTTTCTTCTCAAGTGTGAGAAATGAATTGTGCATCGTACGTACTCTAGCATTGGAAAGAGAAAGAAATATTGTTTTTGGCTTTCCCAGTGTCTGCCATCTTTATCCCAGTGTCTGCCATCTTTAATCCTTAATATAGTAATGTTATAACATTAAAAATTGGTATTGTAGAATATTGTGGATGTGGAAGTCCCGAGATCTAAGTAGAGAGACAACAAAATATGTAGAATATTGTGGATGTTGAAGCCACAATATCTAAATAGAGAGACAACAAAATTTGTAGAATATTGTGGATGTTGAAGCTGCGAGATCCAAATAGAGAGACAACAAAATTTGTAGAATATTGTGGATGTTGAAGCTACGAGATCTAAATAGAGAGACAACAAGATTTGTAGAATATTGTGGATGTTGATGCAAGAGATCTAAATAGAGAGACAACAAAATTTGTAGAATATTGTGGATGTTGAAGCCATGAGATCCAAATAGAGAGACAACAAACTTTGTAGAATATTGTGGATGTTGAAGCCACGAGATCTAAATAGAGAGACACAAAATTTGTAGAATATTGTGGATGTGGAAGCTACGAGATTTAAATAGAGAGACAACAAAATTTGTAGAATATTGTGGATGTTGAAGCCACGAGATCTAAATAGAGAGACAACAAAATTTGTAGAATATTGTGGATG